CTATAATCTAGAAGAAACAAGAAGAAAAAAAAAATAGTTAGCATAGACAGATGAAGGGGAAAAGGAACTCAGGTAATAATTCTTTCAAAAAAATTTATGCATATGTGGGTTTTGTTTTTTAAAAAAATATTTTATTTATTTTTATTTTATGTGTATGCATGTATTGCCTGCATGTAGTGCACCTGTGTTTTGCAATGCCCATGGAGGACAGAAGAGGCTATTGGATCCTCTGGAACTGGAGTTATGGACAGTTGTTAGCTGTCATGTGGGTGCTGGGATTCGAACCTGGGTCGTCTGCACGAACAGCCAGTATTCTTAAACACTGAGCCATCTCTCCAGCCCCTTGTCTTTTTGAAACAGGGTCTCCCTATAGCCCCAGCTGGCCTGGAACTCACTATGTAGATCAGGCTGGCCTTGAACTCACAGAGATCCCCCTGCCTCTGTCTCCCAAGTGCTGGGACTACAGGCATGCACCACCATGCCCAGTGCGTTATGAGCGTTTTGATTGCATGTATGTATGTATGTATGTATGTATGTATGTATGTATGTATGTGCCTGGTACCCAGAGATAGCCAGATCCCCTGGAACTGAACTTGCAGATAATTGCGAGCCACCATGTGCTGTTGGTAACCAAACCAGGGTGCTCTGTTAAGAGCAAGTGTCTTAACCATTGAGCCTTTTTGAGACAGGGTCTCCCTGTAGCCCCAGCTGTCCTGGAACTCACTGTGTAGACCAGGATGGCCTTGAACTCACAGAGATCCGCCTGCCTCCCGAGTGCTGGGATTAAAGGCGTGTGCCACCACGCCCAGCTTACAAGAATTTAAAAAAAAATTCAAAGAGATCTACCTGCCTCGCCTCCCAGTGCTGTGAGTGCTGGGACTAAAGGGACCCAAGTGTGTACCACCACAGCCAGCTATGATCATTATCTTAATGCTAATAGAAAACCAATCAAGATCACAGAACAGAATCAATGTTACCTTCATATAAAAAGGAGGCATGTAATATTACAATCTTTAATGTCAGACTGATAGAATAAAGCTTCTTTAAAAAAGAGTGAGTTTTTCTAGGGGTGGGGAGCAGGAGTGTAAGGCAAGGTGTTACTATGCCACACAGGCTAGGCCTGGACTCAGCAATCCTCTGGCCTCTGTCTCCCAGGTGCTGGGATTATAGTAGAAGTGAGCCACTATACCTGGCTTCTATTACTCATCACTTTAGCAAGGCCAACCAGAATTCCTTAGAATAGACAATGAAACAAATGGCAGAAAACAGGATAATAGTACATTTAATAAGGGCCTGGTAACTGTTAGAGCTACCTACATAGTAATCCAAAAGTGAAATCCTAGTGAAGCAAAGTTAAGGCTGTGGGTATAGCTCGGTGATAGAAACACATGCCTGGGTTCACCTCCAGCTGTACATACATAAAAATGAAGCCAGGTTAGGCAAAATCCTGAAAACTAGCAAAAAGGTAAGAGCACTTAGTATGCCTGGGGGAGGGGTGTAGGGGGTGCTATTTTAGGTACCCTACTGCCATTCCCTAAAACTTAGTGATTTCACCTTAAAAAGCCAAAATATCTTCTCTAAATAAATTCCGTCTTTTTGAGACAGGGGTCTCCCTGCAGCCCCAGCTGGCCTGGAATTCACTATGTAGACCAGGCTGGCCTTGAACTCAAAAAGAACTGCCTGCCTCTGCTGGGATTAAAGGCATGCTACCCTTCCACCCCATGACTGGCTATAAATTCTCCAATCATTTTCCTTTTTGTATGAAATCTACAAACTTATCAAAGGGTATAAATCTGGTCTATGGATGTACCAAACAATGAAAACAAATAGAAAATAAAGTTTTCACAGCACTAGTGAGGAGTTCAAGTTACATGAACTTAGGGTTTTTAAGAGGCAGAGCAATTATTTTTTATAATTCTGTCCAATTACTTCTGTATAAGAATACATAGCTTGTTTGGTGTTTGAAGACAGTACTGGCATTAAGACTGAACAAAAGGGTCTTGTCTTTCCCAATCAGAAAGTAGTCCCTCATCCAAAACCAACAGTCTACATCACATTTCTTTATGGAGGGGTTCCTCCTCACTCCATGAATCCAAAGCCTGCTTCACATCCTTGGCAAGGGCAAAAGCACTTTCCTGAACTCATTTTACTTTCTCTTTGCACTTCACCTGAGTACTTTCCTACCTCTACACCCTTAACTCAGAACCTCGATTCATCACTATCACTACCCATACCAGAATCTCCATCCATATGATGTCTACAATGAAAAAAGTGAATCCCGAAGCATTTTCAATAGCACTACAGTTTTTTTTTTTTTTTAATGTAAGCTGGCTGGCCTGAAACTTGTATATAGACCAGGTTCTCCTCAAACTTGCTGCAGATCCCTATGCCTTTCCTTCTGCTGAGATTACAGGTGTGTGTCCATGTTGGACAAAAGAAAGTGAAGAACTAAATGTAAGCTGGGCATGGTCATGCATGCCTTTAATCCCAGCACTCAGTAGGCAAAGGTAGGTGGATCTCTGTGAGTTCAAGGACAGCCTGGTCTACATAGTGAGTTCCAGGTCAGCTGGGGCTACAGGGAGACCCTGTCTCAAAAAGACCAAAATAAAAGAACTAAATGTAAATCATTTCCTTCCGTATGGCATTCATAACATAAACCAACAAAAACATTTCAACCCACACTTGAAGTTTCTGTGTAAAAAATGATTTTTGAGCCACTGGTATTAAGTTCAATGTTTACAAGACTTCAACACAAGAGCAGTTATGTAAAACTGGCAAAGCTGATATGGAACAGTAAATGACCTCAGGTAAGTGTGAAACCAGAGGATTTGGTAGGCTAAGGAAAGCAATGAATTTTTTTCATGGCAACTCATGTTCATGTATCTAATACAGCAAAAAAAAAGGTCAGACTATTTAACAATTAAAAACATTTTTTTAATGCCCAATAATGCAGCTAAAGACTTTACAGCCTTAGGAAGTTAAGATGTAGGTTACGCCTCTAGAATGCTGGTTGTGTTGTCTACCTTGTTCTGAATGGTGGTTTGTACATAACTCTTCTTTAACTGGACAGATACTGTTAGCACTTCTGAGATATGGACAAGGGGGAAACCAATTAGTTTTACCCAAGGCAGGAGCTTACTTTTAGGGCAGATACGAAAGTTGAAGATTTAGGATACATAAAGCCAGCAAAATTAGGTAACTCTGGGACCAAAATGCTTTGCTGTAAGGGCAAAAGGCTCAATAAACTTTTAAAAGGTCTAGCCTAACCCCTACATTTTTGCAGGGAGGGAAACTAAGTTAGTTAGTGGCTCTCTTAGGGTCTCAAGGCAGGGCCTAGAACTGTGTGAATATGGTAGACCATGTAACTCGAATATGGTTAGTGGTGTTTATCAGCAAACAGGGTCTGAGCAAAGATACTAAAAAAGAAGCAACCTCTGCCAAGCAAAAATTGCAATGTACAAATTGTTTTCTCAGGCTTTAGCAGAGAAGGGTAGAAGGAGCACCAAAGAAACCATTTCCCACCAGGATGTCGGTCGTCTTGGGCTTACTATCTCAGTCTTCTAGGGACACTCCTGGTGGCCTGGCATGCAGAGCCAACATTTACCTGTTTACTGACTACGCAGATGGTAGTTCTTAAATCATGTTGTTGGATGCTGAAATCTTTCCAAGACACAACATAAGGACCCCATAGCTTTTCCTGTCTTCCCTATTTCTCCACTGAATCCCTAAGGCCAAGGTTCAGGCTCTTAATTCCTCCAGAGGCAAAGACTCGTCACTGCACCAGTTAACTGTGCACCAAAAATGCTAGTGAAGGATAACCTCGACTCGAGCTAACGACCTCGGCATCCATCACATTCTGGACTTTCTACTACAGGCTTTCAAAGTCGCTGTGGGTCTCTCCCCGGACTCAATGGGGTTCAAGAAATAAACCTGCTAGCTTAACGAGCAGGCCAAGGGAAACATGCGGCCCCTGGCTTTTTGTTCCTCCTGGATCAAAGATGCTAGAAATTTCTGTCTGGTAGCAGTCTGCTCTCCGGATCCAGGCTGGCCCTGTTACACAACCGAGCCCCCGCGCGCTTGCTGAGAAAAGGACCCTGGGAAGCCACTGGCTTTTTGGGTAAGGAAGGAGGTGGGGTTAACACACAACGACAAAATCGAAGCCGCCAACTGGGGGTGGGAGGCAGATTAGGGGGGCCCACTCGGGCTAAAGGCCAAGTAGGCCCTAGCTGGGCTTGAGCCTGAAGGCCGTGGGGAGAGGGCGGTTTGGTGGCGTCCGGGCCGGGAGGATAACGGGGCTCCCCCTCTCAAGCCAGCGCCCCTCAGCCGACAAATCCGCGAAGCCTTTTTGTTTATTTGCTGTTCATTTGGATTTCTCCACGACACACAGTTGCCTTCGGGGCAGAAACGGGCAAGGGAAGGGAGGTTAGAGGCGCAACGGGCCGCGGCTGCGCGAACCGCCTTCCGACCCTCCGCCCCGCGCGCTTTCGGGGTAATGGGCTCGAGGCCCAGTCGCGGGGGCCCCCTCAGGCCGTCGGCCCCGCCCACGTGGCGGGAGCCCGGGAGCCCTGGCACCGACAACCGCCACACAATGGAGGCCGAGGCAGGCCCCGCGCGCCCCCGTCACCGCGAGGCCCCCGCGCGGCGCGCCTGAAGGTTCCAGAACCAGCCCGCCTGGTGGGGGAGGGGAAGGGAACGCGGACCCCCGAACTCGTCGGGTGGCGGCGGGAACCTCCAACCCCTCTCGGTAGTTCTACTCAACCGTCCGTGCCTCCCTCAGGGACGAGCGGCCCCCCGTTTGTGCGTCCCAGCCGTCGCCAGCGCGACTGCAGTTCCACTCCACTTACCCGTGGACGCCATTTTCTCTCCTTCCTCCTCGTTCTCTCAACGTCCGTCTCCCTCTCGCGGTCCCCCTAGGCGCCGCACTGCGCAGGCGCGAAATCCGCAACCTCGGACGCTACCATCGGGCTAGGCCACGGGGGTGGGAAAGCAGGTATGATCCACGGCTCGCTCGCTCTTCGCTCCCGAAACCGCCGACCCAGTCCTTTCTAAAGAGCGCCGAACTCGACGCTCTGGCTAAAATAGTCCCCGAGGGCCAGAGCTTTGGTGAACGTGTGCCAGCATCAAGCCGGAGGGATTCTCTGCACGAGGCTCGGTTGCTCGGAATGGTTACGCCCGTTGGCTCTAGGGACCGTCTCTGAAGAGTCTGCCCTGGAGGGAAACGAAGGCTGGGG